ACGAGCACGACGCAGCAACTACACCTGACACAGCAACCTGACTGGACCCGGCTACCTGGTGGGACGGGGGAACCTGACGGGGGTCGGTGCGGAGGGTGTACAGACCAGAGCCCGGCTCCTGGCGGAAAGTGGCCAAGGGGGCGTACGTGTCACCGTCGACGCAGACTGCGGTGTCACCAGAAGGCTCAACCCAGACACCGACGTGCTGTCTCGCCAAGGTGCCCACACCAACCAGGTTCCTAGAGAACGTAGGAACGTGGAGGCCAGTCAGGGAACCAGAAGGAGCAGCTGGGCACGGGAGAGTAGTGGCGTGAGTCGCAATGACCGGTCCCGAGGAGGGATCGGCCAGTGCTACAGGGACAGGCGCCGGTAGCGGAGAGAGAGTCGTGCAGTCGCGGAAGAAGCAGTGCGACGCTCCTGAGTCCAGTGTGAAGGAGAGAGACGTGTCCGCCGAGGGAGTACCTGTACTAGTAGCTAAGCAAGATCCTACACTAGCACCTACTCTAGCAACAGGCAAAGATCCTAAGCTAGGTACAGGCAAGTACACAGATCCAGGAGCACTATAGTCAACATCAGCATACATGGCATAAGACCTAGCATCATCCATAGTCATATCAAAAACAGCAATACCACGAGCAAGCAGCGTCCCCCAGCGTGGCGGCGGGGGAGCGGAGGGGCCGTGGTGCAAGCGGTAGAGGTCGTCGAGACGACTGAAGCAGCGTGCAGCAGAGTGGTCGGGGCGGCCACAGTACGTGTCCCTACGAGGACCCGTAAGGATCCAGTACTCACAGGGACCAACGTCGCGGCCGGCCGCGCGAGGTCCCCGACTGGAGGGGGCGCCACCGCGCCCAGTGCTCGGGGGACCCGCAGACCTCCACTGCTGCGGAGGGCCCCACTGCTGCGGAGGGCCCCACTGCTGAGGCTGCTGCTGCGGTAGGCGCTGCTGCTGGCCCTGTCGCTGCTGCTGCTGCTGTCCCTGCCGCTGCTGCTGTCCAGGCGGTGGCAGCTGCTGAGGAGTCGGCTGCTGCTGCTGCTGGAGCCCCTCACCACCAATGGAAACTCCACCGTCGAAAGGAGGGCCGTCAGGTCCCGAGCCACCCCCACCACCACTCCCACCACCTGCTCCACCGCCACCGCCACTACCCGCACCACCTCCAGTACCCCCGCCGCCCTTCCCGCCCTTCTTGCCGGCCTTGCCACGTTTCTGTCCGCCAGAGACAGAAACAGCCGCCGTCTCCTCGGAGGCAGAAGACGTGGGAGTGGCAAGGGAGGCAGAGAAGGTGGGAAGCTGTGGTACCGCACACCCCTCAAAAAGACGAGGAGGAGGCGCGGAAGAGGCAGAGGCAACGGTGAGGAGGTTACTCTCGATCTTCGAGAGAGCAGTCTCAAGAAGATCGATGGTAAGCTCAGTGGGGTGCTTCAGAAGAAGCGCATCGCGGGCTGTGGCTAGGCGGTCAGGGAGGCGAGTGACTAGCCAGTGAATAGTGAGCCACATAGGGGGCGGGGCAAGGGCAAGCTGGTCCTCAGTGCAAGCAGCGCGAAAGCGAGCGTCAAGGGAGCGCAGGTGAGTAGCGAGGTCAGAGACAGTCTCAAAGGAGGCGAGGTCAGGGTAGATAAAGGGTACGAGGAGGCGACTGAGCGACGCAGAGGAGGGAGTAGAGTAGCGAGCAACAATAGCCTTATACAGATCTGCAGCAGACTCGACCTGAGCGAAGTGGACTGCCTCTGTTGGCGAGAGAAGGTCGGTCAGGGCGAGGCAGGCAGCGGCGTCACGAGACTCCCACACGTCGCGAGCGAGGAGCTGGCGCTGGTACTCGGCCTCCTGCTCAGGAGTAGGCGGTGGGGTAGTGGGCAGCGGGCTAGGCTGCTGGGGAGCGGTCTGAGTACCGGATGCGTGGGCGAACAAGTGCACGCCATCCTGCCGCTGGCTCTTAAGGTGGCGCTGCGCCTGCGTAAGCCACGTGCTAAAATCTATAGGTCGCCCTTCAGGGTCGAAACGAAGTACTCGGGAGGTCGCCATAGAGGGCGAGACTGAGAGAGCGCGGCTGCCAGCCGCGGGAGGGGAGAGACAATCAGTAACGTGTGGGCAGGCGGGGAGGCATGTAGGTGGGTAGGTGAGCGGCGCAGTGCGCTGTCTGGTGGGCAGCGCGGTACGCTGGCTGGTGGGCGGCGCAGTGCGCTGGGTGGTGGGCGGCGCGGCGCGCTATGGGGCGTGCGGCACGGCGTACTGAGTGGCGGGCGGGCTGCGCAGCCGGTCGACGGCGGGCGACGCGGCGCGCGGGCCTACGGGCGGCGCGGCGGGTCGACGAGCGGGCTGCGCAGCTGGTCGACGGCGGGCGACGCGGTGCGCGGGCCTATGGGCGGCGCTGCGGGTCGACGAGCGGGCTGCGCGGCCAGGCGACGGGCGGGCCGATGGGCGGGCTAGGCGACGGGCGGGCCTGCGGGCGTTCTTGGCGACGGGCAGGCCTACGGGCGGGCTGCGCGGCGAGGCAACGGGCAGGCCTATGGGCGGGCTAGGCGACGGGTGGGCCTGCAGGCGTTCGAGGCGACGGGCAGGCCTACGGGCGGGCTGCGCGAGCCTACGGGCGGGTGGCGCGCTGGCTAGGGTTTAGGCCGCGCTGCAGGTCGACCGGCGGCGTGGCGCGTTAGGGGGCAGCTGGCTGGCTGGCTGGCGGCTTAGGGCTTAGCGCACTAGCGCGCTGGCGTGTGTGGCGAGCTAGGGAAGGAACGAAACCCTAAACCTAGGGCCTAGGAGCGAGGAACCTAGCTGATACCATCTCAGAAAGTAGCTACAGCGGAATGAGTAGGATTGATAGGGTTGGGGTACACATGCCTAACCCTAACTGCTTGTACCCCATATAGCATGACCCACAACAGGGTATAACATTTGACAACATCCAATTGTCCCACGTGCGTACAAAAAAGACTCAATCATGGGCAGTGGGCACACGCGCACCCCCTTAGAAAACGTGTTTTACCGGTATTATAAGCGCAGCAGGCACAGTATATCCGGGGGAGACGGTATCATATAACGCCGGTATGGCAGTACGGCACCAGGGATATGCTTTGCCAATCAGTACCACCAGCCCAGGAGCACGCAGAAGGCAGCAAGCAGCAAGCAGCAAGCAGGCACGTGGTGGGGGCATCTCATCGTCCAGAGCGTCAGCACTAGGAAGCCAGCCCCTTGGTGGGCGTCTCATCATCTCGGGCAGCCAGAGCGATGTTGGAGATCCAGCACACTCCAGTGGACCCGGAACTCGTCAGCAGCTCCCACTCTCCCATCTCCATCCCTCCCCCCCTCCTCGCCTCCCCTCTCCCCCTCCCTCCCAACCCCTCCTGCCCGCTCTCACTCCCCACCTCCTCTCCCTCCTCCCCCGCCCCCCTATCCTCTCCTTCCTCATCCCCTTCAGCCACCTCAGAGAGAGAAGGCCCCACGTCAATGCTGCTGTTCACTGTGTCCTTGTCGTCCTCTTCACTCTCGTGTGTGCTTATATCGGAAGCCGTTGACCCCCCTACAATCACCACACTGTCACTCAAAGCCCCCTGCTTTCCCCCACTCCTGCCGTCCGAACCGTCCCCACCTTCCTCCCCTTCCCCCTCCTCCTCCTCCTCTTCCACCACACCACCCAGCCCACCTCGTCTGCTAACCTGTAGCCCTGCTACAGCCGCTACAGCCGCCGCCGCCACAGCAGCAGCCTCGGTCTCCGAACCTGCTGCTACTACAGCTGCGGCAAAACTGGCTGACACCGTTTGTCTGGATCCCACCACCCCTGCCTCCTCGCCATCTAGACTCTCAGGCTCGTTCGCAGGAGTGGGGGGTGGGGGCGGGGGCGGGGGCAGCGGCGGCAGGGAAGCGTGGTGATGCGAGTGGTGCGAGTCATGGTGGAGGCGGCTGGGATGGGTGTAGAGCGGTGCAGCGCGGCGCTGCGACCAGGAGTACCCGCAGAAATCAACGGCTACAACGGTGACGGGAGCTAAGCGTTCCACGCTGGCTGCTACAGCATCGCCATGTGTCACGCAGAGGATGCTGTCGGTGGGGAAGAGTGCTGCCACGTCATCAAAGGCCTGCATGAAGCGCTCCCGTGCACTCTCGAGGGATTCCGGGAAGATGGGGAACTGGTAGTGGGCGAGGGGGTGAGGGATGGGAAAGAGGGATAATGGGCAAGCATGACGCGATCGCGCGCATTCTCGGGGGGCATGAGGAAGAGAGTGTATAGGCGGAAGGGAAGGAAATGGTGATTGTGCGAGCATGCATGTGCGAATGCATTTTCGTGCAAATGGTGTGCTCGTGTGCACACAAGACACCAGGGTACAGCGGTGTGGGCGAGCACTCGCACCTGAAGGGCATTCCGGCAAGCATCGGCGCGCTGAAAATGTTGCGCCGTCTGCACCTGCTCAACATCTCGTGCGCACTGCCCAACGTGTGGGAGGAGTGGCGCAAGCTGGAGAAGGTGCACCTGGAGGAAGTCAGCGCGGCCCACCTTCTGCCCATCTCCCTCGCGTCTCTCGCGCTCCTCACCATCCGCCGGTGCCGCTTCCTCCGCGCCCTCCCCGACGACAACGGCGCGACGCCAGCCCTTCGCGAACTCGAGATCGTCGATGCCTCACCTCGCTGCCCGCATCGATCTAGATGCTGACATCATTGGAGCGACGCGGGCAGCGAGGTGAGAGGCGCATCGACGATCTCGAGCTCGCGGAGGGCTGGCGTCGCGCCGATGTCGTCGGGGAGGGCGCGGAGGAAGCGGCACCGGCGGATGGTGAGGAGCGCGAGAGACGCGAGGGAGATGGGCAGAAGGTGGGCCGCGCTGACTTCCTCCAGGTGCACCTTCTCCAGCTTGCGCCACTCCTCCCCCACGTTGGGCAGCGCACACGAGATGTTGAGTAGGTGTAGACGGCGCAACACTTTCAGTGCGCCGATGCTCTCTAAAATGTCCTCCAGACGGTACCACCCGTAGAATGGGGAAGATGGTGGGCAACCATGCAAGGCTATGGATGGCACAGTGGTGTGCGTGTGCCAGCTCACCTCAGAATGCACACTCCTGCCTGCCCTCCCCTCTCCAGAGGCAGCAGCAGCGCCACCAGCATTAGCGAACGTAGGGAGCGGCAGGAAGGTGGTGCCAGGGGGAAAGAGCGCCTTCAGGTCACTCTCCCCCGGCACCCACCCCTTGCTGCGCGCCTCTGCTGCTGCCGCCTCCACTGCTGCCGCCAGCCCTGCATGCTCCGCCACGCTGCTGTGTGGGATGGACGCCGCTGGTGGGCGCTCCTCCGTGCAGCGCCGCAGCGCTCGCGTGTTCATCACCTCCGCCAGGGCGGGGCTGAAGGATACCTGCAGGCGGACGGGGGGAGGGGTGCAAGAACGGGGAGGGGATGGGAGCGGAGGGGAGGGGAGGAGAGGGAATGGGAGAGGGGGGGGAGGGGAGGGGAGGGGAGGAAAGGAGAGGGGATGGGAGAGGCGGGGGAGGGGAGGGGAGGGGAGGGGAGGGGAGGGGAGGGGATGGGAGAGGTGGGGGAGGGGAGGGGAGGGGAGGGGAGGGGAGGGGAGGGGAGGGGAGGCGAGGGGAGGGGAGGGGAGGAGAGGGGATGGGAGGGGGGGGATGGAAGGGGAGGGGAGGGGAGGAGAGGGGATGGGAGAGGGGGGGGGAGAGGAGGGTAGGGAAAGGGAGGGAAGTGGGGGGAAAGGGAGGGGAGGGGAGGAGATGTGCATAATGCAGGGCGAAAGAACACAGAGATTGAGATGGAAAGGGGGGGGATGAAGCGAGTGAGGACATGCAGGGGAAAAAAAGGGGAGCAGCAAGTGAGAAGATGGAGTCGTGCGAACCAAGGAGAGTGGTGGTTACACGAGTGGCGGGGCCAGGAGGGAGGGAGGGAGGGAGCGATGAGAGAGATGTGGAGAGCTACGGGACAGAGAGGAGCGAGTTTTGTGAGTCGACTCGAAACACGAGTGATGGTTCGGCAGGAGTAGGGGAGCAGGGAGGGAGGGGGAGGACCGGTGAGCCATATTATAACGCCTCGCTACCTGCTGGGTCAAAACGAGGGTTATATTTGAGGCGCAGCGGAGGCACTCAACCCTTACTTGTAAGCCCCGCAGGCGTTACAGATATGGAGAGCTACGGGACAGAGAGGAGCGCGAGAAGAACAGAGAGAGATGCGGAGGCGAGAGAAGGAAAAGGCGAGGGAAGGAAAGACAGAGAGAAGGAAGAAAAGAGACGAGGTGACGGGGGATGACGGGAAGAGGGGTGTGGGGGTAGTGGGGGAAGGAATGCAGGAGGGAGATGGTAGGCGCCTCACCGTGACAGTGACACCCAAAGGCGAAGGTGCCGATTGCGCCTGTCCCTCCGCCCCTTGCGATCCCTCCGCCGCCAACACCCCCTCGCCTGTGCTGCCCGCCTCCCCTTTTTTACCCTCCCTCTTCTCCCCCTCCGCCCCATCCCCCGTGCGTGCGCCCAGCAGCCCCGCCACGAGGTGCACGGCCGTCTGCACGCATCGGCGGAAGGGCGACACCACCACCCGCACCGCAGCTCCCGACCCGGCACCCTCAACCTCGTCCCCACTTTCGCTCTCCTTTCCCCCGCCGCCCCCCCGCACGCTGCTCCTTGCCGCGCCGAAGCCGCGCGTCCTGAGCGCCTGCCCGACCTCCTCCGCCGCCTTGGCGCCTCGCGCGGACAGCGGCGGGTCCCAGGGTCGGTCCGAGCCTGCCGCCCAGCCGTCGTCCTGCTCGTCAATAGGTTCGGCGTGCCGAACCACGACCAGCGTCTGAACAGTGGGGGGAGCGGAGTAACTTGCCCCTGTCCCGCCGAACCTGCTCCCCCCTGCTTCCCGCTCCGCCACGCCCGCCGACTGCCCCCCAGCTGGCTTCTCCCCCGGGCTGGAAAACAACGCCTTGCTCGTTATACCGAGTCTGCTTGTAACGAGACCCGACCCCGCTAAATCCGCCATAGGCTGGTCCGAGGTGAAGGAAGGCGCGGGCGACATGTGGTAGGGCGGGATAGACGAGCACGTCGAGAATTGATCCAGCGACATTATGCTTCCCGTCGGGCTGCCGAGCGTGGCCGCCACGCTACTGTCCTGGCTCGTCGTCCGAACCAGGTGGCCTGGCGGGAAATCCACCCGAACCTGCGGTAGGGTCGGTAAGAAGAGCCCATCTTGAGGAACGGTGCCGGCTGTGAAAGCGCCGAACGTGCTTCCCATGCTGCTTAAAACGGGGATGTCTGCTTCGGGGATGGAATGCGCGGCGGATTTGAGACCCCCGCACGGGACAATGGGATGCCGGATCCCCACATCCCCGGGCTTCGCCGCTGCTGCTTCTAGCGAGTCTGCTTCTACCGGATCGCGCAGTTCTGTCGACGCTTCCTTGTCGCGATTCGCTGGATCGAGCGATGCGGAAGCGCCGGAATTGACTCCCGCGGAAGCAGCGGAGGGGTCTCCCGGGATCGGCGACGTGCCCGCGTCCTGTTCGTCGCCTGCGACTCCTGCGGCTGCTACGGATCCTGCTTGCGACATCGTCGCGGCGCAACGAGGTATGAGGTGTGAGGAAGGAGGATTAATTTTTTGAAACGACAGCCTACGAAGTGGTTACGGGATCACAGGCGATGACTGGCAATGGGACGAGGTAGTGTGACAACGAAGTGGGGGAGATTTCAGCGAGGAATGGGCAACTGCAAAAATGACCAATTGCTGATTACGATGATCCCGACGAAGACAGGCAACCCTAGAGCAGAATCGAGGAGGGGGTACTTCGTGCAGTAGCACCATCCTTCTTCCCTGTTTTTCTTCCTCCTATCATTTTTCCCCTATTCCCCTCCTTCTTTAAAAAAAAAAAAAAATCAAAACCACAACTGTACAAAGTAATGCTGATTTCGATATGCTAAGATGTTTTCTTGTGGTTTGTAGTCTCAAGTGATGTTTCCTAAACTAAGGTCACAATCTCGACCCAACATGGTTAGTTATGGCCACATGAAGAAATTGTCTTCAAGATGTGTAATACGTAAAAAATTCAAGCCAAGCATCTCGCACTCCGCTACTTCTTCGTAAAAGAGGAAGTTGACAAAGGCAAAGTCATCTTGACTTACTCCACCACTTGTGACATGGCAGCCGACTTTCTTACCAAGAAGCTGCCACGTCAGCAGTTTCACCTTTGTGGAGCCATTTGCGGCATAACCAAGCGCGTCAGGACTTCGTCACTTTAGGAATGAAGAGGGGTGTTATAATATGGAATAATTGAATAAACATTCATAAGTAACGAATCCTTAACGAGAAGATGACTGCAGTGAGGACGAAAGACCAAGCGACAAAGCAGTCATTGAAGATAGTTACAAGCAGGAAGAATTCGAAATAAAAAGCGCCGGAAACTTCAAGCGGTTACCGGACCGCGTACGGTTACCGAATCGCACAATTGCATACCTGCATCTAGATTAGCCCTAAGGGGAATGTACCCCCTTAGAGTACATGTCTAGCTAGGACCTTTCGTATTTCGCTGTATTCCTATATAAACCCTTGTACCGCATTGTATTAGACACTTCTGTCGATATTCAAATCTCATTCTGATAACGTCCGTACCCGACATTATTTAGCAAACTTCTTCCGCTACACTTTAGTGCGATCAACCTGAGACGATCCTGTAAGACGGTTCAGATTGTATCGTGGTATGAGAGCCATTCAGAATTCTTCGCACCACCACCTTTGATTCAAATTCAAATTCAAGGTGGCGTCCGGTACGCGCTCCCGCCGAAACATGGCTGGAGGATCTGGCGGACAAGTGGCTAACACTGCTGAACTTCCTGCCAACTCAACCGCGAACTCCGCGGGGACCACCTGTTGGAATCTAAGGCAAGGATGATGAGATTAGGTCAAGGTGGGGTACAAGAGTAGAGTGTCGAGAGAAATGTGTGTACCCCCTAAGGCTATCCCCAATATAGCCTAGATATAATATGCATATGTTTTGACACACCCCCATAGGCGAAATGGGGGATAGCCAGAGCAAGCAACGGTCACAAGACCAGTCAAGAGACAAAAACACAGCTCAGGGTGGATCACAACGTCACCACTCCCACTGAGCACAAGCAAACGGCCACAGGGCCAGTCCACATGAAGAGGTATATAAACAACAAGAACAGTACAGTGATCTCTAGCTAGCAAGCATGCAGGTATATATATATAAAGATCACAGTACAAACAAGGGCTACAGCAAGTGTGGAAACGTCGGAACAAGGCCCAACAAAGTACAAAAGCGCTGATGATCACCAGACGGAAGTGCCTTGGTGAATATATCAGCAGTGTTGGCCCGAGTGTCCACGTGACGGAGACGAAGCTGGCCTCGCTGCTGCAACTCTCGAGCCAGGAAGTAACGCAGAGCAATGTGCTTCGTTCTGTGCTCCAGTCTGTGCTCCTCACACAAGGCAATGGCAGCCTTGTTGTCGACGTACAGCACTGGAGGAGAACGAGGCCGCTCTCCCAGGTCGGTCAGCAGGTAGGTGAGCCAGCGCAACTCCTGTGCAGCCATGGCTGTGGCGTAGATCTCAGCCTCACAACTAGAGCTGAGAACTGAAGACGAGCGAGTAGAACGCCAAGAAACTGAGCCAGAGCCAAGGCTGAAGGTGTAACCCTGTGACGACCGCTGAGTAGCCTGGTCGTCAACCCAAGAAGCGTCTGAGTGCCCAGTGAGAACAACTGGGCTCCTCCCACCAAGCACTAGCCCCATGCCTGATGTACTGCACAAGTAGCGCAGTACCCTCTTAGCAGCAGCCATGTGCTCAGGTCGGTGCCGACCAGGAGCCACGTAGCGAGCCAGAAGACCAAGAGGGTACGCGAGGTCAGGACGAGTGCAGGTCATCAGGTACATGAGGCAGCCAACTAGCTCTGGGTAAGGACCACTCGGCTCTACGGACTCGTCCGAAGGTGGAGCTGAGAGTGAGTGACCTGTCGCCAGAGGAGTGGCCTGTGCTGAGGACCAGGTGAAGCCGAAGCGCTGAAGGACCTGCTGCACCATATGTGACTGAGTCAGTGTGATGGTGCGGCGTGCTCTGTCCCGGGTGATCTGCAAGCCAAGGTAACTGCGCAGCTCACCCAGGTCTGTGCATGTGTGTCTCTTCTGCAGCTCGGACTTCACCAGGGCAAGAGCCTCAGTGTCAGCAGTGGCAAAAACCAAGTCGTCGACGTACACGAGGATGTAGAACGGCGGCAGTGAAGTGTCGGTGCGCAGAAACAGCGACGGGTCAGCAGTAGAAGGCGCGAACCCAAGAGCCGCAAGCGTAGTCCTCAGTGTGTCGTGCCACTCACGTGGCGCCTGGCGGAGACCGTAGACCGGCCGCCGGAGGCTCCATTGGGTACCAGGAGGGAACGACCCAGTGAAGCCCGGGGGGCGGCGCAGCCAGATCTCCTCGTGCAGGCTGCCCTGCAAGAAAGCTGTGCTGAAGTCAAGAGAGTGAAGCTCGTAGTCACGGTGAGCGGCAACGTGCAGCAGCACCCGAAGAGTGGTCATCTTCGGGGTGGGGGAGAAGGTCTGAAAGAAGTCTACTCCCTCTCGCTGACTGAAGCCTCGAGCAACGTACCGAGCCTTGAAGACGGGCGGAGAACCTGGCGGCCGCTTCACCCTGAAAATCCACATGCCACTGACGATGTTCGCCCCAGGAGGGGGAACCTCGTCGACGTAAGTGCCAGTGGACTTCCAGGATGCCATCTCTGCGTCCATGGCTGTCCGCCACTGAGAGGAGTACTCACCCGCGATCGCCTCAGCGTAAGAGCGCGGGGTCGGGATGTCTGGTGCATCCGGGTCTCCCTCAGGGGCAAGCAGCATGGCCACGAGATGAGGCACAGCGGCTGCAAGACACTCAAGGTCCTCGTGCCTGTCCTCAAGGACGTCCGTGCTAAGAGCACACTCACCCCCGACGGACGGAGGACAGACAGACTCAGACTCAGCAACAAGACTAGCGGCGTAGTCTAGACGACAGGCAGCAGCAAAGTCAACAAGCTCAGCGACCAAGGCAGACGCAGCAGCAGACTCAAACGACGGGTCAGTGACAACAGTGGCTAGTAGACGCGTGACTGTAGGGTGGTCAGCACGAAACCGGTCAGACGCAGGGTCCGGAACGGCAGGCAGAGAGGACGCAGGGGGAGACGGCAGGGGAACAGACTGCGGAGCAGAGGGAGGACGACGGACAACAAGGTGTGCACCGGGGACAGTCGGCTGACGTGGACGAGAAACACGACGACCAGTACGACCAGAACGAACAGGCGAGACTGGACGCGACGCAGGCGCACGACGCTCAGCAAGACTACCTGTCTGCTCAGTGTAGGGAGAAGGAACAGGCAGCGGTGAGCCAGGCTGTAACGGAAGACCAGTAGACGACGGGAGAGTAACAACCTGACGAAGAGCAGAGTCAGGCGGTGGCAGAGACGACGGAGACAGCGGAGCGAAGAACAGTCGTGTCGGCGCAGCTGCACCAGCTCCAGCACCTCCAGCAGCTCCAGCACCTCCAGCAGCTCCAGTGCCTCCAGCAGCTCCAACACCTCCAGTAACTCCAGTAGCTCCAGTGCCTCCAGCAGCTCCAGCAGCTCCAGTCGCAGAACCGGTACCTCCAGCGGTAGCACCACCAGAACCAGCGGCACCAGCAGCAGCACCCCCAGAACCGGCACCTCCAGTCCCAGAGTCTCCAACCGCAGGGTCTCCCGTAGCAGCACCACCAGAACCAGCACCTCCAGTCCCAGGGTCCTCAACCGCAGTGCCTCCCGTCGCAGCACCCCCAGAACCGGCACCTCCAGTCCCAGGGTCTCCAACCGCAGGGTCTCCCGCAGCAGCACCATTAGAACCAGCACCTCCAGTCCCAGGGTCCCCAACCGCAACGTCTCCAGCAGCAGCACCCCCAGAACCAGCACCTCCAGTCCCAGGGTCCCCAGCCTCAGGGTCTCCGGCAGTAACACCTCCAGGCGCAGCACCCCTAGTCCCAGCAGCTCCAGCACCCCCAGCAGTAGAGCCCCGGGCTCCAGCAGCCCGACGCTGACGCCGACCGTACCAGTCGTGTAGCTGCTGAGGCGTGAGAGGCACACGCGGACGAAGGCGGCCACTCCAAGTAGGCCGCGCACCAGCAGTCCCAGTACCCTCAAGCGTCTCACCGCCAGACTCAGCACCCCCAGACTCCGCACACACAGGCTCAGTACCCCCAGACTCCGCACCCCCAGGCTCAGCACCCCCAGACTCCGCACCTCCAGGAGCACCACCCCCAACAGCACCAGAGTCAACAGTAACCGGCTGCAGAGGCGGCGAAGAAGGTCGCGGAGGGAACCCTGGAGGGGTCTCCAAGCGTGGTGCGCGGCCGAAGGCCGCCGGGGCGTCAGCAGCAACGGCAACCCCCTCAGGTGGGCCAGAGGTGTCAGAAGTGACCTCCAAAGGCTCAGCCAAGGGGGGGGGGTCTACCTGAGACACACCTGAAGGAGCAGGACCCTGAGGGGGGAGGGGGTCTACCGGGGGGGGACCTGGCGCAAGGAAGAGCGGCGGGGGGGGAAGG